TTGGGACTGAAATTTCTATTGCTAAGCAATGAAGTCATTAAATGAATTGCACCCATTTTACAACCCCTTTTGCTGCAGGTATTAACCAAATCATCCGGTCATTAAGTGAATCTAGTTTCCCCCACTGACTTTGTTTATTGGAAGAACCCCCGGGAATGTTGTAAACAGCAGTCATGTGACCNCTTGACTTACGACCAAAATTGGGACTGAAATTTCTATTGCTAAGCAATGAAGTCATTAAATGAATTGCACCCATTTTACAACCCCTTTTGCTGCAGGTATTAACCAAATCATCCGGTCATTAAGTGAATCTAGTTTCCCCCACTGACTTTGTTTATTGGAAGAACCCCCGGGAATGTTGTAAACAGCAGTCATGTGACCCCAGGATGTTGCAACCATTATAGATACTTGACAGTTGCCAACTGTTCAAATTTTGATCACAGGGGCATTGTGATGGTTAAGTGTGAGGACCAGTTTCAAGTCCTTTTTTTCCAGCACTGTCATAACTTTGAAAGGTCATTAAACAGACTAACAGAGTTGGAAGGGCCCTTGGAGGTCTTCTAGCCCAACCTCGTTCAAGCAGGAAACCCTATACCATTTCAGACAAATGGCTGTCCAATCTTTTCTTAAAAACCTCCAGTGATGGAACACCCACAACTTCCACTGGTTAATTGTTCTGTCAAGAAATTTCTTCTTAGTTCTAGGTTGCTTCTCTTCTTCTTTTTTTTTATTAAAAGTTTTATAAAAATTACAATATGAATCCCCATACCCACCCCAAACCCCCCCTCCCTCTCCCCTGCTTCCCAGAGCTGAACACAGGGTTACAAATATAATAATCATAATCTAACTAACATTAACCAACTATTTAAATAACCAAGTCCATAAAGCGCTTTAACTCCCTTTTAACAAAAATTTAAACAAATTAAAATTAAACACTATAATAAACAAATTAACAAACTAATTATTAAACAATACAATACAATACTAATACTAAAAGTAATAATATCATGTAATTAAACCTAAGAAAAACTCCACTATAATAAACTATTAATAATAATAAATCTAATATTCACTCATAAGCCAAATGGAACTTTTTAATCCGATATTTATTCTGAATATAATCTATCCATCTTCTCCAAACTGAAGTGTATCTTTCTTGTGAATGATCCTTCAAATAAGCAGAAATCTTGGCCATTTCTGCTAAATTTGAAACTTTAAGCGTCCATTCTTCTATAGTAGGCAAGCAATCCTTCTTCCAATATTGCCCTACTAATAACCTTGCAGCTGTTATCAGATTCAACATCAAATTAGTTTCTTTAGTATCAGTTAGACATTATTGTGGGTTGTTTTTATTAACACCCCACTTGAAATAGAAAAAGAATTTTTAGAAAACTTACAAGGTGGTTTAGAATTAGGTTTTTCGAAAATATAAAGATGTCCAGGTGGTTTATACTTTTATTCATCGCAGGTTTGATGGTGTAGAGGTTGTAAATCCGACATTTAATCCTATGTATGTTCTGTTGATTTTAGGATCCAGATGCCATCTATAAAACATTTTATAAAAAATTTCTCTTAAGTTCTGGGCCTGGGTAAACTTTACATTACTAACCCATATTGTCTCCCATATATCCAATGGAATCGGTTCTTGAATGTTTTGGGCCCATTTTACCATACAATCTTTAACTAATTCCGTTTCCGAGTCCATTTCTATTAAAACGTTATAAATCCTCTTTATATGCGCTTGATTTGAGTCTTTAATCTGTTTAATCAAATTCTCATCCAATAATGTGATACCAATCTTTTGATCTAATTTCCACCTGGCCATCAATTGGGTATACTGAAACCAAGATTGTACATTTTCTTGCTTTAGCTCTTCTAACGATTTTAATTGCCAATCATTTCCTTCCAATCTAAGTAATTCCTTATAAGAGATCCTATCCAAATTCACACCCTTAGATACTCCCTCTATCATGTGTCCAGGAATACCCCAAATTGGTATTTTATAATTTAACTTATAATAATACTTCTTCCAAACACGCAATAGAGCACTTCTTAAAATATGAGATTTAAAAGCCTTGTCCACTTTTTTATTATAAATTAAATATGCATGCCATCCATATAATAAAGCCCACCCCTCTAATAGGTTGCTTCTCTTCTTGATTAGTTTCCATCCATTGCTTCTTGTCCTTCTTTCAGGTGCTTTGGAAAATAATTTTGACCTCCTCTTTTTTTGTGGCAGCCCCTCAAATATTGGAACACTGCTATGTTGCTTCTAGTCCTTCTTTTCACTAGACATAAGCAATTCCTGCAATGTTCTTCATATGTTTTAGACTCCAGCTCCCAATCATCTTTGTTCTTCTTCTCTGTGCTCTTTCCAGAGTCTCAACATCTTTTTTATATGGGACCGAAACTTGATGCAATACTCTAAGTGCAGTCTTACCAAGGCATTATAAAGTGCTACTAACACGTCATGTGATCTTGATTCTATCCCTCTGTTAATGTAGCCTAAGATTGCATTGGCTTTTTTGGCAGCTGCAATACACTGCTGGCTCATATTTAAGTGGTTGTCTACTAGGGTCCCAGAAGCAGACTAGATCAATTGAAGTTGAAGCTGATAGAGGTTTAACGGATGGTTAAACCCATCAGTGCTATGATTGGTGGAGGGTTTCTCTTCAGCTAGTTATATTTAGAAAAAGCAGAAAAACCAAAAGGTTAACCAGTAGCTTTACTTAAAATGCCCTGCACACTTGAACAACACTATCTGGCAACAAGCCAGGATACAGACTAAAGTGACAGGATAGCGAACTGGCATGGGGAGAGCAGATTTTGCGCTGGTAAGCTTTCTGATGGCTCAAGGACACACGGATAGCACTTTAACTGAGCTGGGAGGAAAAGTCATTTGTCATTCATTACCTTGGAGGGAAATCAGGTGACTGCAGTGACTTGAAACAGAGGTAGGGTAGAGATCAGCAATGGGAAAAGTAAATTACTTGTTGGGATACTTTTGTAGTGACTAAAGGATGAGTGGAGAATGCTTTATCTCAGTCCTGGGAATCTTAAGCAGCACTGAAGTTTACAAAAGAACACAGCAGAAATGTCTCTGCCTGAACGGTACAGCCATAGAGAGGCAGTGTCCCCCCCATCTTCGCGCCACTAGATGCCTTGCTAACTTTGCTAACTCCACTTTGAAGATGGAAGAACAGAAAGAGTAATTAGTTTTGGAGACAGCTCATGGCTAGGAGTCTGAGAGCAGGATTGGAACCTAGAGGCATCTTGAAAAATAACCACCATCTTGCTTTGGCACTTCAATTTTTCTCTTTTAAGTTTCACTCTCTGCTTTGCAGCTAAGTTCGGTCTTTAATACATTAGCTGGCTCTTTTGTAAAAAAAAAAAAAAAAGCCTTTGCAGAGGAAAAGAAGAGGCACGGGTCGGCTGTAACTTCATTCCAATAAAATCCTCAAAGCTGCCCCCCCTCCCCGCCTTTCTTTACGTAGAAAAATGATTAGATGTTGGCAAGTTCGTTCTCTGAGATTCAGCACACTTCCTCTTCATGGGCGAGAACGGGGGGGGGGGAGAAGCTGAGAAAGGGCTGTCCCCCCCCCCTTCATATTAACCCGTTTGTATCATTAGCCCCGTCTGTGTGTCTTCGGCTCTAGCGGCCGATTCCTACTGTCAGCATTGCCCGTCGGTGGATCCACATTTCAAGGAGACATTTCAAATCCTATCCAGGGATTTCCTTCCCTTTCTTCACTTGGTATTGTCACATCGGTGGCCTCTTTTCCTTTTTCCAAAGTGTCCCCTGCCGGGGAAAATCAGCATGGAAAGTTGCCTTCATTTTATCCCTTCAAAAAGCTCGGCTTCCTTCTTTCTCTCTCAACTCGGCGCCACGAGACAAACCCGATTTACTTAAAAACTCCAGCAATTCGGAGTTTTTCTGCCTTTCCAAAGCCCTAACTCGCCTTCTCTCGCGACCTCTTTTATTTCCCCCCCCCCTCGAAAAGGACGCATCACTTTGGTTACAGACGGAGGTTTGGCCACTCGAAAGGGGGAGGGGGAGAAAAACCCGCTTTCCTCGCACACGCGTGGAAACACACGTCGAAACTGTACGGCGGGGACGCGGAGACACTTCGTGGTGTTCTTTTAGTTTCTTTGTATGGAGATTCCATTCAAACTGTTCAGCGTGTCGCCAGTAGCCTTCCGCCAAGGAGGAGGGGTGGTGGAAGAAAATAGTCCCGAGCTACTCTTACCCCTGTTTCTGAAGGCAGGAGCGAGGGGAAGGGCGCGAGAGACGACCCCTGGATTGCACGTCGCCCTGCTGCGGCCCCCTAAGCAGTGCCTTTGCACCCGCGCCCCTTCCTAAGCGGGGCTGTAGAGCCGAGCTTTAGGGCAGCTGCCCAACTCCCCCTCTTTCCCCCCTTTTCCCTCTATATAATGATACAATGTAGCCTTGGAACAAGCTGTATCATTGGGCGTAGAGATTGCAAAGCCCTAACCACGTAGAGCGGGCGATACGCCTCTCCACCTAACTTAACAAACGGAAGCATCGGGCCGGCTTTGATGGACGGGGAGAGAGAGCCAATGGGGAGTGGGGAAATCTTCCCAAAATGTGTGGACGGCCAATGGGTGGAGCGGGGGGGCAGGCTCGCGGGGAGCCTAGCAGCTCAGGTTGACAGTGACTAGTCCCAGTGCAGGGAAGTGCAAGGAAAGGGATGAACCTTAAAGTTCGGGGCTTCATCTCATTGCAGGGAATTTGAAAAAAAAGGAGCGAGGAAGGAAAAGTCCCGCAATCTAAAACTTGCAAATAGCGCAGGGATAGCGCGAAGCCTTCAGTTGCGGCCAACTTCCCCGGAGCTGGGTTTTTTTTTTTTTCTCCCTTCTTTTTCCCTCCCCCTCCCCTCCCCTGCCTTTTTGCAGAAAGAGAAGAAGAGTCCTGCTGTTATTTCTTTCCGCTTTTTTCACCCAATTCCGAGTCCGCGCTTTTTCTTGGCCGCCTTCCCCCCCCCCGCGACCCCCATGCCAACCATGATAGAAAAGGGCCCAGAGGTCTCGGGGAAAAGAAGGGGCAGGAACAATAATGCCAGCGGCGCGGCCAGCGCTTCCAACAGCGCCTCCGCCAGCGCCAACAACGCTAACAATGGGAATAATAAAAGTTTGGCAGCGGCAGCAGCGCCCAATGGGAATAGCAGCGGCAACAACTGGGAAGAAGGCAGCTCCGGCTCTTCCAGCGATGAGGAGCACGGTGAGTCTTGGGGGAAAAGAGACGACGGAGAAGGTGGCCGCTTTCTCGCCTTCAAAAACCCACAACTCTTTTTTATCACAGCTACAACCCGCGGAGGGGTGGAGGGAAAGCTAGAATGGGGAAATAACAATTCTTTGTTTTAACCTTGTCAGGAGGAGGAGGAATGAGAGTGGGACCCCAGTATCAAGCGGTTGTTCCTGACTTTGATCCTGGTGAGTCATTTTTTTTCTTCTCAAAAAAAAAGAAAGAAAAGAAGCAGAAATCTCTCCCTTCTTTCACGACTTCTCCTTCGAAATTTTTGAAAGACGTGGTTGTCTCTTTACACCTTCCCACTCCTCCTCCCACCCCACCCCCCCACCTGATGGCGGTCTTCCTCGCGGGTAAATCTCACTGGTGCCGTAGGCTGTCTCTTCACTAAGGGTGCACCAAGGTGGCAAACTGGCCAGCTTCTAATGTGGACTTTATTCGGGGAGGGTATCTCCGTGGAGTTTAATGGTTCTTAATCCCCAAGAGGAAGCCTTGTCTGCTGGATCGCTACAAGCTTGTGTAATTAACTCGTTTTTTCCCCGTGAAAATATTAAAAGCGAGATTAGAGTACACTTCCTGTTGTTTTAGTTGTGTTTTTTTTTAAAGTGAGTTTCATTTGAAGAGGTGAGAAGGTAAAAAATTTCTCCTCCCTGCCTAGATTGCATGTCTGGCCAGCAGCAGTTCAAAGAAAGAAAACGGGAAGTGGTGGTGGGGGGGGGAAGAATTGATGATGGATAGATTGAAATGAGTTCAGGAAAGGTGGCAGCAGCACACTTGGGAATGGCTGGGGGGAGGCAGGGGGAGGAGGACAGTGGAGTTATTCTGGGGTTTTACTTCCTTAAATGAAATCTATTTTAGAAATGTTTTTCTTTTTGTCCTTCCTCTTGGTGATGTGGAAGATAACTGGTTAACATAGCAAGGAAAAAGAAGCTTTAATCTTAAGTCTCCGACCCTCATTTTTTGCTGGTTTTCAGGTGTGGCTACTATTTCCATATTCACAGAGTTAGAAAGAGCTGGCCCTTTATGAAAATCGGTGCCAGTCTAGTCCCTGAGACTCCTCCCCTTCCCCCTTGCACATAATTATTTTAGATGCAATTGACCTAAATCCAATTACTTTTTTTTAATGAGTGTTTTTATCCGATTAGGTTTTTTCAGGTAGTGGGAGAATAAGTCTCTTTTACTTCTTGCTTTCTTAATGATGAAATTTAGGGCAAGTAAAGGGCAAAGAAAGAAAAGAGGAGCAGTTAATGAAAAGCAGCAGAGCACTTTCTAGGGGGCGCTTGGTAGACGTGGTGACAAACAGGAAAATGAATTTATCCATTAAGAAAGAAGCATTCCTGATTCTCTTCCTGTGTTTGCAGATATGGTACTATTGTCAGGAGTGAGGCAAAAAGCTTTTTTTTTTTTTTTTTTGTTCGTGTAGGATTTCCAATTTCATTAAACTGAGCCTTGCTTCTTGAAGAAGCTGCTCTGTAATGTTCTACTTGGTTATATTTTCTTTCCAATTTAAAATGTTAAGGAGATACTGAATAAACAAAGGGATTCAAATATTCTTGTAAAACAAATAATTTTTCAAAAGTGTGCCTCTTGAGTGTATTGGAAGCCATACCTACAATTTGTTTAAATGGGGGGAGGTTCATTTCCTTAGTTTTTAAATGCCAGCTTTTAAATGCTTCCCTTGTAATTATAAGATTTTTTAAAAAATCAAAGATTTCCTGTTTAATGTGAAAAAATGTGCCATTTCTTTTGGTCCTGAGCAATTTGTAATAAGATTTATCCAGTTAGCTGATTGCCATAATAGGTGAATGTACTTGTAGGTATATAAAGCTGCCAAAGCTATGAATCTGGACATCCCTGGTTTGCTGCCACAGAGTTAGACAAGGGCCTTGCAATCCATCCAGTTCCCTGTTGGCAGCAGGAAATACACAGCTGGAGCATCCTCAGCAAATGGCTATTCAGCTTTTGTTGGAAAACTGACAAATGAAACCCCTTCCATTAGTTGGAAATATTGAACTGTTAATTGCTGCTTCTTTAAAAAGTTACTTCTAACAGTCAAGCAAAATCTCCCCTTAACTAGCCAATTAGACCTTGCCTTGTTTTTTGGAAGTGGAAAATAAGCTTTTTCCTCTCATATGTGACAGATATTTCATGGGTACTATCCTTGTCTGCTGTTAGCCTTATGCCTTTTCTAAATAGTCTTATTTCTATTATCTTGTGATGGACTTTTCCATCAAGAGTTGCCACCTCTTGAACTTCTTTGATTTGTTCATATCCTTCTTAAGGTGAAATATAAAGAACTGGACATAATATTTCACCATGAGGCCAGCCTGCAGAGTAAAGTCAAATTGTTTCTCATATTTGGGGAACCATGCTGAAAATTGCACTTATGTATTTATTTTGGCAGCTATTTTTCTCGTGGATGTCCATTAAGCTTGTGAAGTTGAAGTTCAGTTGTTTAGATGTATGGATTTGATTCTCTCCCTCCTTCCATATGAAACTTTTCATAAGTGTCTGAGATGAAGAAATAAAACAGTTTCCCACTTTAGAAATATTATTTTCAATTTTATTCTTATCTTCTGAGGTTATTTACTTCCTAATACGTGCGTATGGGACTATAACCTACCTGTGCATCTTTAGACTGAATGTGGCCTTAACAATCTTTGATTCTTTCCACTTAGTTTCTAGTCTGCAACATAGAGAGTAAACAATTCTGAACTACCTATTCTTAAAATGTGAGAACATGTGTGCATGTGTTAGCATTCTATATGCTATATAAAATTTAATTGTGAAGCTATAGAATAAAAATATACATTTATTTCCTTATGAAAATTAAATGGTGGTATTTTATTATAGCAGAATATTTACATTTTCTCTTTTTCCATTCCAGACTGCTCTTTATCTCATTATTTCATCCCTTCTTTTCCTTTCCTTTAAAAAACGAAGATTTGTATAAGCAGTTTCTTTCTTTACCTGTTCTGTTCTCATGTTTACTTTATTGGATGGTTAGTCTGAGAGTAATTCCAGCAAATTTCATACTGTTGATTGTAATCTATGTTTTCCTAGGTCTAGCAGGATGCTATATATGCTTGTCTCGTGCTAATGTTAGCTCCCTTTTTACACCTAATATATATACCTGTCCAGGAAACTGCAGTATATGAATTCCACATACAGCTTAGTCATGTGACAAATGCCTAACTTCAGAGTTGCTATTTTTACATTTGTGTATAGTTGCTTTTAGGCATTTGAATCCGAAAGTATGGAGAGGAATTGGAAACATTGGCAATTATTGGTAAGGGAGTGAATCTATAGCCATGTTTGTATATGAAGTTAACTAATCTGCGTGACCACAATTCTGAGTGCATGGAGGGCAGGAACCACTTTTTGGTGATCCTTTATTTTTGACTGGTATGAGCGAGTGGCTGTGATATGGAGATCTCTCTCTTTCTCATGCTTTGGAAACCAAATGATCAAAGAAAGCTTGTGAAAGTGTTAAATGTACGCAGCAAGATAGACATGTGTATCATTCATAAATAGCATCCTAGTGTATGCAATTCACTTTCAATTAGAAGAGACCTCTTGGATGAAATGGTCCTGAAGTTTTAAGAATAAAATGCATTGGCTGACCTGTTATCAGATTCTCTGCTTTCTTTTTATCCTAAAATATGAGTTCACATAACAGCAGTAATGAATGAGGAGTGTTAAAATGCAGGTGTAATCATTTTGTCAAATTGCTGCTTAGGAGAGAATCAGTTAACTACTGTATTAAGGTTTTGTATGGAAAAAGTGTGTATTGCAAAGAATCTTTCTAAATTTACCTCTATGTGATATTTCCAGGTTTTCAGTATTTGTTTCTATCCTGCATCGCACTACAGTTAGTTGGTGTCAGCTGTGTGTGTCATGTGAATCCATCCACTATTATGATTTATACAGACCATAGCTTTGAATAAGCTTTGAATGTGCCCAGCCAGTCTTATTTAAGAAATCATAATTAAATAACCATGGGTTAGCATGATAAATACACCCCAGTTGCTAAAATATTAGTGGTCAGTTTTCTGTAAATTGTGTTCTCTAAATATATTAGAACTACAATTCCCAGAATTCATAACCAATATTGGAAAGAATAACAGAAATGGTGGTTCCATGTATCTGGAGAACATCAGGTTGGGGAAGGTTGTTCGTAGATTAATTTGATGAAAGCAGCGTATTTTATAAATTTTCTTGAAAAACATCCATGTATGTGTAAAAACAAATTCTAACTCCCCATGTTCAATTTAAAATTTTCCTGTTCTTTTAAATAAAAGCTGGGTTTGTAATAAAATTTAATTTGAAATCTAGATATTTGCAGATGGTATGCTGAACTTAAGAGTCGGGGAATTCTAATGATTTTGAAGGAGATGGATTGTGCTCAGTTAGCTATTGCACACATGTACTAGAGCAGTGATGGCAAACCTTTTAGAGACCGAGTGCCCAAAAACTGGCCCCATCCCCGCTCCAGCCCCTGCCCCACCCCCACTCTGCCTGCCCGCAGGGCCACTCATCACCTCCAGGGCCCGCTGCAGATCGCCCAGGCAGCCCAGCAGCACCATTGCTCCATGCCCTCTGCCCGCGCCCCGCAGCATCAACTGCACGATGGGGTGTGAGGACAGAGTCTTGTCTATGCTGCCTGGCTGCCATGTCCTTGATTGTGCTGCTCCGCGTGGGCCACGCTCGGGGGCGACTCTCCTCCAGGGGGGCTGCTGGTGAGGGGGTCACGGGAGGAGGCAAGGTTGGGGCAACGGCACGTGTGCCCACAGAGAGGGCTCCGAGTGCCGCCTCTGGCACCCGTGCCATAGGTTCGCCACCACTGTACTAGAGATTAGATACTGTATAGGCATGAAAAATTGAGGTTTTATCCAAAGAGCAGTGAATTATACTTAAGATATTTTTTTAAAAATAGTTTGTATCCAGTGTTAAGGAATTTGCAGAGCGCTGTCTGTAATTTAAAAATCCCAAACTTTTCATTAAAAAAAACTCTTAGTAATGTTCTGTAGTAATTAAAGGTATACATTGTTAAATTACTTAGAACTTTACAATGGATACTGCTTTAACTCACAGAAAAGTCAGTAGTGACAAGTGAATCTTTTCCATAAGTATTTGTGTCAAGTAGTTCCTTAGTGTCAGCAGCTCCTTTTCTTTTTAAATGAAC